GAACAGAGCCCTGCTCCAGGCAGCGATGTGGTGACCGTTGCAGACTCTGTTACGAGAATAACGCCGGGCCTGAGTGTGCGATCCCACCCTGAAGCAAACGTATGGTGACGGAGGGCAGAACGGTCATTGCCTACGGGGGGACATTGACTAGGAGGGGACCAGGGGCACCTTCAGGGTGCTGCGGACGTGCAGAGTCCTGACGTGCATGGTGGTCACGTGGGTGCGAACATCGGTAAAGATTCACTGAGCCGTACAGTCCAGGTACGAGCGCTTCATGTAAGGCTAGGAAGCTTCCAAAGATAATTTGGACGTAGCATAGCTTCACTCTATTCTAACACAGAATAATCGATAGCCCAATAAATTTGTAAACAGGAAAGCAAAGTGGGGTTCACATGAAGTGGAGTCTCTTGGAAACTGTCATCAGAGGTAGGCTAAAAAATCCAGACGGCGATATGGGTAGACTCGCGTGCTCGTCTGGAGAAACTTGCCCTGTGCACCTGTCTGCAACCTGCCAACTCCATTCGTCGTACTGGCGGTTCCTTGGAGTCTCTGATGATACCACGAAATAGTCGTGGAATGTTCGCTTGAAAGGTGGATCCTTGTGACAGATCCGATTCTCCTGCGGCCCCGCACGGAGCCGGGGAGGTCCAGGACGGGGGGCAGGGGGGCAGCGGTGCTTGCTGACCAGTGTCCTCGTAGATACGCTTCTGTAAAATCCTAGTCGAATGTCGCTGAATTTACTCTGGTCAAGCTGGTGCCAGCTTCTGAAGCCCTGCTCCTTGACCACTGAAGTTTGCTACTTTGCTGGCATGCTTGGTCCCAGGCCAGAGGGCTCAGTTTTGGGGACAGATGGGCAGAGCGTCTGTTCCAATTTAATGGCATCTGTGCTGTTTCGTTGATTTCAGTTGCTCTTTCATCATTGGCCTCTTCGGGCTTTATTAGTGTCTATGAGAAGGACGCTGTGGGACGCTGAGAGTTTTTCTAAGGTACACAGACTGTAAATCACAGGTCCTAGAGGTCTTAGGTTCTTTCTAGGAGTAAGTTATTTCGGTCACGACAGCCAATGAACATTTCCCTCCCTGCTTACGGTGCTGGCCACTAAATGAGTGGCTTGAATGGTGCCCCCGCCCACGCATAAGCTGTGTCCATGTCCTAAAACCCGGAGCCTCTGAGTGTGACCCTGTTTGGGAAAAAGGGTTTTGCAGAGGTAATCAAATGAGGTCATCTTGGAATATCCACGTTGGAGCTAAGTTCAGTGACAAGTGTCCTTAGAAGAGACAGAGAGGAGACCCACAGAGAAGGAGCCACGAGGGAGACAGAGAAGGGGAGGACGTGACCTCAGGCCCAGGACGCCTGGACCGCCTGGAGCCCCCAGAGGCAGCGGCCCTGCCCTGCCTGGACCTCGGACTCTGACTTCCACGCCGGGCGACGGTAGATTTCTGTTGCTTTAAAGCTGCCCAGTTTGTGGTGTTGTGTTCTGGCCGAGACAGGAAACTAAGAAAACACCGAAACGTGCTGGGACAGGGTGACTTCAGAGGATGTTTCGAGCGTCCCGTAGCCGCACGGGGGCTGCGTTCCCGGGGAGGGGCCCTGAAGGGGAGCCTTACTCACTCCTGTGCCTGTGTGAGCTAAATTGTTTTTCTAGGGAAGAATGCACTTCCGCACAGAGAAATTTTTTTCACATGTTCGTCTGAGTTGTTAAATACAGAAGGCCGGAATATGTAATTCAGCATTTTAACTGTCGTGTTTATAGAAGCTATGACTAAACACATTCTCAAAAAAAAGGTGGTTCTAAATAAAATAACGTAAAAGTTCACTTCGTCTCCCTTTCCCTCCCAGAGTCCGCTGCCTGACGGGGCGGCCGGGCCAGCAGGGGCAGATAAGTGACTGCAGGTGCGACTGGCACGGCCAGACAGACGTCCCCCACAGCTCAGAGCTCCCCGTGTGCGTCCCCGTGTCCCGGGTCCTGCCGTGGGGGTGCCGGAGCCCCCCGCCCTGGGGACCAGAGCCCCAGCGGCACCTGGCAGCCCCCTTCCTCCGGGCCCTCCCTTAGGAAGGGCGGCTCCTCTCGGCCGAAGAAGCCGCTGGGCCCGCAGGCTGCCCTCTCACCAGCCCGGAAACCCGCCTGCAGCTCTCTTCCCCAGCCCGTGGCCGCTCGCCCAGCGGTTGTGGTGACCGCCGTCACGCCCGCTTGGCCTCGGGGCTCCTGGCCGCGGGGCCGGGGCCGGGGCCGGGGCTGGGGGAGCTGGTCCCCATGCTCCTCCTCAGAGCACATCCTCGGCAGGTGTTCGGATGCGCGGACCTCTCGCGGGGGCCTCATAGGATCAGTCACACAGACAAACAAGTGTGTGTGAAACTGCCACTGGAAAGCATAGCATGGAAAGGTGGTCACCGTGAGTTGGGGCTGACCCGGGCTGGTACGCAGCTTCTGTCTGAAACAGTTCTATACGACGGTACGTGACGATTCCAGTTCTGTGATTTAACAGTATGTTTATGCGTAGAAAGGGGACTCCAAAGACAGGTGTCAGCTGAGGCCACCTTGTGGGATGGGTTACTGGTGGTTTCCCCTGTCTCCTGCCGGCTGTCATGTTCTCTGCAGCATTCTGGTGTCACCCCTTCCCCCGGCTGCACCTTCCCTCCTGTCCCCAGCTCCCGCCTCCCCCCCCCCCAACACGTGTGCGTGTGCGCAAGCAAATGCATGTTAAAAGTTCCTAAGTGTAGGAAAATGCTTTACTTCTTTGGACAGGATTATTGAGATTTCTGAGAGGCACGGTGGGGGCTTGGCACCCTTTCCACGGGCACAGAAACCGTGAGGCAAGCCGGCAGCAAGGCTCCGCGGTGGCGTTGGCCGTGAGCTGTGATGAAGTCCACCTGGCTTAGTGTGGGGGCCGTGATGGCCTGAGTGGGGGTAAAGTCTTCCTGGGAATGTGTCCTTGTAGGGATCGGCTTTCCAAGGGGTGTCGAGAAGCCCTGGGGTCCTCAGCTCTCAGGCACGTGGTGGGTGGATGGTCTCACTGGAAAATACAGAAACCCGGGTCACTTGATTTTTTAGATGCCTCTTAAGGGTTCTTGAGAGAAACACTTAAAAAAGAGCAGAGGCTACTTTGCGGCCCCTGCTTGGTGCAGTCGGCCGAGCACCCAACTCTTGATCTTGGGGTCGTGAGTTCAAGCCCCACATTGGGCGTAGAGCCAACTTAAAAAGAAAGAGCAGGTGCGCCTGTGTCTCAGTCGGTGAAGCATCCAACTTCAGCTCAGGTCATGATCTCACAGTCCATGAGTTCAAGCCCTGCGTCAGGCTCTGTGCTGACAGCTCGGAGCCTGCAGCTGCTTGGGATTCTGTGTCTCCCTCTCTCTCTGCCCCTCCCCTGCTCATGCTCTGTCTCTCTCACTCTCAAAAATGGATAAATGTTTAAAAAAAAAGCAGAGAGAGAAGCAGCGTTCCCCCACACCGAAGTGGTCATATCCTAGGAACAGAGGTGTGGGAGTGAGGCCCAGCTCGAAGCAGGCCAGTCCAGGGGCCGGTGCGTCCGCGGTTTCTGCTCTGCACAGCTCAGCCAGCGTCATTTCCATGGCGACACGCCCGGGGCTGAGGTGTGAACAGCAGAATGGAGTTGGGGCCACGGGGCAGGGCTCACGGAGATGGCAGCGAGGGTCCCTGCCTCTGGGCAGCCTGGTGGGTGGCCCACGCTTCCGGCAGGCTGGCTGGTCCCCTCCAGCAGGAGGGGCCCAGGGTCTGAGTCGCCTTACCTTTCCTGGGTCCCGCTGTCTTGGGCTACGTTACTCTGGGGTGCTGGTTTTCTTCTCTGCCTCCTGGGCACCTCCGGGGCAGCTGTGAGTGGGGTCAGCACCTGCCACACCTGGACATTTGGCAGGGGTCTGAGGGTGTGGAGGAAGACTGCCAGCTGACGGTGTCCACACCCCTGCTGGGGTTCATTCCAGCAGCCCACCTTTGGTCTTGACCGTTGTTACCCTTGGTCTGTCTTCTGGGTGCTGGTGCTGGTGCTGGTGTGCAGTCAGGCAAGTGCCCTCCAGAGTGTAAGGCGATGCGAGGGCCCAGGAAGCTGCATCCAGACAGATGTCCACCTTTCACAGCGGGAAATGAGATCCCAAGATCTGGCTGCTCCCAGCAGTCCCAGTGAGATCTGTCTTCAGGACGTCTTTAGGTTAACGTGTGTTCCAGACGGGGTCACTGTGGGGTCTGTGGGTCCCCGTCGCCAAGGGCACCACTCAGGATAAGCTGCCCAGTGCCCAGTGGAGCCCTGCACACTGAGGACCCCACTGTGGGACCAGGGACCCCAACCCCCTTGACCCTCTTGACCAAGAGGCCACCTGGAATGTGGAACGAGATGATTCTGAGGGTGTGGCCACATCCTGGCGTGGAGTGTGGCCCCAGCCATGTGCTCAAGCTGGCCACAGGGGTGACCCCTGTGGGGCCCATGGCGTCACTCTCTGAAGTGTGGAAATAAGGGTGGGCGGGAGGAGCCCCCCCCCCCCCCCGGCCGCTGTGGCACATTTGGGGCTGGCCCAGGCATCTCCCTTGGTTCTGTCCACTAGCTGCTCAGGCAGGCTCCTTTCCTCCGGGCACAAAATGCAATGCCACCGGCCTGCAGATGTTTGGACAGGGCGGCTCTGCCCGACTGCCTGCTGGGCACCGTCCGCCTGTGGCCGTGAGCAGCACTACGGGCTGGGGGCCGTCCTCTGGCTTCCTGTCTTTATACCTGTGTCTTTGTTACGATTCTGCATGTGGACACCACGGGGTACCGGATGCTGATGGGTAAGATAATACTGGCTGTGTCTGAGAAGGTCTCTTTCTTAAAAAAGCGGAAGCAGTGGCCTCTGACCTTTGGCCCCGGCCCTCCCAGCACCTCTGACACCAGACCTCCTGGAAGAGCCCTTGGCAGGGGCCGGGCGCCGGGCGTGCTTGGGGGCAGTCTGCAGGGGCCAGGGCCTTGCTGGGGCCGGTGGGCTGCACGCTGACCGGCTGGTCTGCTGTCTTTCAGTCAACGAGTTCACGGTGATCAGGAAGAAGTTCAAGTGCCCGTACTGCAGCTTCTCGGCCATGCACCAGTGCATCCTCAAGCGGCACATGCGCTCCCACACGGGCGAGCGGCCCTACCCCTGCGAGATCTGCGGCAAGAAGTTCACCCGGCGCGAGCACATGAAGCGGCACACGCTGGTGAGTGCGCGCGCGGGTCCTGGGCGGGGTCCGGGGCGGGATCCGGGGCGGGGCCGGGGGTGGGGGGCTGGGCCGGGTTCTGGGCGGGGTCCTGGTTCCGCAAGGGTTTGGCCAGGGCACACTGTGGGGGGCTGAGGTGTGCGGGAAGGTGATGTGGGGTGCCCAAGTGATGGGGGGCACCACCTTGAACCCCACCCAGGGTCGGGGTGCTGAGGGCAGGGGCCACATCACCCCCAGCCCCAGCCCTCAGCCTGGCCTTGGCAAGTGCTTCCTCCCCCTGCCAGGACCTCCCCTGGCCCCGTGGGTCCCACCGTGAGGTCCCTTCCTCTGTGCCTGGGCTCCGAGTGGTGGTGAGACCCAGCCTCTGCTCCCCCCGTGGCCTTGTAAGACGTTTGGTTACCTGTCTTGTGCGCACCCTTAGCTGGCAGTTGCCAGGGAGCAGATGCCGAACTGATGGATTTGCTTGGCAGGAAGTGATAGGAGAAGGTCATCTTGAAACAGGGAGGCAGATTCGCCAAAAGACACAGGGCAAGGGACTCTTGTGGGTGATGAACCGTGGGGGCGGGGTGGACCACAAGGTTCCCCGCAGTGTCCAGTCTTCCTTGGACACGGTGGAGTTCAGGGCTGAGGGTGGGGCCACCTGGAGCTTGCAGCCATTAGATCGTGAGACTGTAGATCCAGGCCGCCCTGGGTTGTCAGGTGCCCAGAGCCCCCAGCGTGTGCCATGGGGGCGCAGGGAGAGGGCGCTGGGGCGACGTCACGAGTTTGGGAGTCTCAGAGGTGTTGAGAGTCACCTGCGAGGTGCACAGACTTGGCTGGAGCCCTACGGCATGCTGATCTGATGACATCAGGAGCAGACTCCCCCCCCCCCCCCAGGAGGTGTGGGGGGACTGTGTTGGCAGTGGTGAGGGTGACCTGGGTGTGCCCTAGCACAAGGGCAGCAGGTGGCAAGGTGAGAGTCTCAGGCCTGGCTGCTGGCGGGGTGAGCCATACGGATGAGCGGGGTCTTTTGCTGTGCACGTCCATCCGTGGGGTGAGTGGGGGGCTCTGGCTCACTTTGGGGTCACGTCCAGATTTACTCTCTGGATCCTCCGTTTGGCCCCCTTCAAGGGGCATCCTTCCCAGCCCAGTGGGGGGCACTTATTAGGGGGTGAGGACACCCTGGAGAAGCTCCCGTGAGGTCAGGCGGCAAAGCGGGAGGGGAGACAGTCCTGAGAGTGGATGCACCCAGCCCATCTGACCGAGGGTCGCCCATGACCCCATCCTGCAGTGTCTCCCCAGATGGGGTCGAGCAGAGCGGGAGAGTGGCAGTCCTGGACCCAGGGGCAGGTCTGCGGGGCCAGCAGCCGCAGGCTGGCTGGACGGCACGGGCCCCGGAACTGCCCTGTGGCTCGTTTCGCTCATCTCCCAGAGTCCACCCTGAGAGCACAGGGGTCATGTTAGCAGACCGTGTACAGCAACTTAGGGGGACATGCGCCCCGCTGCCCACGCTGCTCCTGGTCAAGGGATGAGTAGTGTCTCGTCACGCGAAGTGCTGGAGGGTTGTCGCTACCAGGTTACTCCATCTTTTCTTTAGCAAAACCATGTCATTGCTTTAGGAAGCATCAATCCCATTTGAGGCTCAGTGTGGCTACTACCTTGGATGGGCCAGGTTTCCATCCTGGGTTTGTGTTTGGGCTTCAGGGAGGGTCATAAATCCCTGAAAACGTACCTACCAATGTTTTGGGCTTGCTTTTTTCTGAGGAGAGAATCTGTATCTTCCCCTTTAATTTGCCGAGGGCCCCCGACCCCAAGGAGGCTGAACCCCTGCTGACAGCAGGTGGCAGTAGGGACGCCCTATGCCACCTTGTCCCGCAGCGGCCCTTCTGTGCAGACGCCGGTGCCCGCTCAGCAGACAGAGGGGCTGGCGGCAAGCTGGCCAGGGGTGGTCTGGACGGTGAGGTCTCAGGAGCTGCTTGCCACCAGCCGGGAGCCACGGGTTGCCATGGTGCCCGCATCCTCTCTCTTTCCCTTGTTTCCGTTTGTTTGTTAGGACAGGTGCCGGGCCATCTGGTGCTGGCCGAGTGGCTCCCTGAGACGCCTTTGTCGCTCCTGGGTGTCCTGGCACAGCCCCTCAGTTTCCCGCGTGGGAGCCCCAGGTTTTGAGGGGCCTCAGTGGGCACTGCCCCCCCCCCCCCCCCCCCCCCCCCCCCCCCCCCCCCCACTGCCCAGCCTGCTCTCAGAACACAGTTTCTGTTGTGAGAGTGTCGAGGAAGCCTGGGTTTAAGACACAACAGAGAAGGTGCAGGAGGGCCCTGGGGACCAAGTCGTTTCATGCTCCATTTCTAGAATCAGAACGTGTGGGCCCAGCTTTGCCCGTGCCTCGGGACACAGTGGTCTTCATGGCTGGGATTTGTGGGCGGGTTTGACGGGGAAGGTGGACTGTTCATGTCAGTCTGTGGTGCCACTGAGTTGGGGGGTGGAGGGGCCCTTAGCCCGGGACTCGTGAAGGGGTCCCTTCAGAGGGTGCAGCCCCCAGGACAGTGACCCATCAGTCAGGGGGCGCTCCGAGTGCGAAGGAAGGACACAGCTTGGCAAACCCTCTTCCACCATCATGCCACTGGTGGTGTATTTATTGCAGTAACAGTATTTACTCGATTGCTCTAGAACACTGGAGAATTCAGAAAAATATGAAGAATTAAAATTGCATTCTCCGCCCTCCTGCACTGACTGCCCATCCCCCC